GATAAGTTTGTTTTGGTTTTATCTGGCCAGGAACATTGCTGTGACACTGGAACCAACAAACCCAAAGTCTGCAGACTTAGCACAATGTGCTTGTGTTTTTCTGACCAGCAGCACTAATAATGCATAACTCCTCAAAACATTCACCCGGGTTGCTGTTTGGAGACAAGCGGTTGTGACTAAGACAGTTTCTGTGATTGATTACACAAGAGTCTTTCATCACACAGAATACCGCCACTAAAACATTTCCCCCTCTTTCCACTATGAAGAAGGAAAAGCATTTCATTTTCAGAGAGCCTTCAGGAAGTGATAACATATAAATTGTCAATGCCGTACAGATATAGATCTGATGATATATGATAGTACAAAGCCGAATACTAAACATGCCCACATACGCACAGTCATTTCTTGAGGCCAGTTATAACTTTCCGTTTCCCCATATAGCGACAAAGCTATACTTAACCACATACAGGTGTGTTTTTGGCATGAGCAGCGAGCTGGCAGGTGTGTTTGTTATTACAATGTGATAATGACTATCATTACAGCCCAAGGTAAGAACAGGCATGTTAGCAGGAGACGGAGACGAGAGGAAAGCAATAATGCTTTTACCAGGATGTGAGTGCACAACTGGTGTTTCTGTGCCGTAAATGCATACAGAGCCACAGACTGACATTCATGCAGTGATACACACTTCACAAACAGAAACCCACACAAATTAGCACCTTGGTGATTTAGATTTAGCTCCAAATGAAGGGCACCCATGCTGAAAATAAATGCCTATTACAGATTACCGTTATTTCATTGAAGAAGGAAAGTGCAAGTCAGTGTTTTAGACTATAGTTGCTTATAGGTAACGTGCAGCATAATGATAAAATGCTAAACCTATGAACTCATTCATGAATCATTTTAGAAAACCATTTTACATTTAATAAAGCTCTTAAAATGCCCTTTATGATTCATAAATTATGTAAATTTATTTAATATTTATTTTACAGTAAGTAGTTTGCCTTTTTAAATCACCAGTATTTGTAAACACACACACACACACACACACACAGTGTGTACCCACGTACATAAGTGATATTTTCTCAGGCTTGCTCTCTCTTTATTTCTGCCGACTCACCATCTGGGGCAAATCCATCACAGCTTTTCAGTACCTTCTTGGTTGAAACAGGCAGATGTGTATAATATATTTACCCACACTTATCACTCACACTTATACATACACAAAAGCACACATCTTTGAATACTTATACTTGTGAGGGCTTTCACTATATTAGCTTCAAGCCTCAATCCTAATTCTGATCCTACATTCAATCCTGAATCCGAGTCCTAACATAAACCTAGCCGCTGAGAGGTAAGGATAAGCAAAATGTGCTCATTTTTCTTTGGTTTTCTACGATTACAAGCACATTTACTTTTTATAAACACATGCATTTGAGACCCTGGTGTGCAGCAGCCAGACACTCAAAAAAGCTCCAAAGAAAGCATTATTTTCTAAAGTGTTGTTTTAATGGCTGGACTCTGTGCCAAGACAAATCATATGGCATAATCAACACTGACTGCACTGATAACAGCAAAAGTTTTTCAGTTTGTTCTTATCACATTTATGGAAATGATGATGTTAAATGCATGAATTTTATCTGGCTTGAATATTTAAAGTGAGTATTATTGCTGAGTCTTTGCACTCTTAGCGGCTTGTTATGTAGCCAAAATCTTTAAAAGTCATCATGCACTTAAACGCCTGTAATGCTTCAACACAGAATGTGACAATTTAAGGGTTTGTCCCATCTTTTTACTTTCAGTACGCTGTCTTTTCTTGGCTTCACTTTTCTTGTGTGTGTGTGTGTGTGTGTGTGTGTGTGTCTGTTAGAGAGCAATGTACCAGATGTTATTTTGCAGGAGAGAGGTGACCAGCTTCTCATGGCTAGTAGTAAAAAAGACTATCTCTGAGCAGTCAAGCATAGTCTGATTTAAAAACTGGTACCACTTTCTAACCTTTATGTAGAGTTAAAACATTTTAACTAATGACTTTATTAATGGTAAATAAACCCATTTACTAATGCTTTTTTAATTAGTAAGAAGCTATTGAAGAGAACAATGTTGTAGCTGCCATTTGTCCTTCTCTGTCATGATCCTGTCTGTGTGTCTTGTTTGGGAGTCTGAGTTTAATTCCATGTCCTTAGTTCATGTTTTGGTATTCATTCCTGGTCCTTGTTTGTATTATTGTGATTTGGTCTCCTCTGTACTCTGTGTTCTAGTTCTGTGTTCTCGTTTAGGTTCTGGTTCTTTGTAACTTGTGTGTGTTTCTGTCTTCTTGGTTATTCACTCTGCCCCATGTCTGCTTGTCTAGTGTTCCCTCTGTTTCCCCCTGTCTCTCTGCCTGCCTGCTTGTCTCTCTGTCTCTGCCTCGTTAGCCCTGATCCCGCTCACCTGTGTTGCTCCCGCCCCGCTCGTTAGTCCCTGTGTACATGTATGCCTGCTTGTCTCTCCAGTCTTTGTCACGTCCTTGCGTCTAAAGTTGAGTGTTCCTGCCTGTTCCTTTGTCTTCCTTGTTCTGGATTATTCCCTGTGTTTCGGATCGCCTTTGCCGTGTTTGTCTTTGTTGGACTTTGCCTCGAGCTCCTTGTAAGCCTGTTTAAGTTAGTTTTTTGAATTAATAAACATTTTTGAACTGCAACCTCCTCGCCTTGCCATTGTCTGGGTCCTCGCCCCAGTCTGCACTCAGCGCCCCAATCCGTGACATCCTCAAGCACGAAAGTTGATTAGTCTTTTTAGCTAGCTCTTTACAACTGCAGACCTGTTGAATTATTGTAAGAACCATATATTAACCTTTGTAATGGCTTTGTTATTGATGTTAAGCCCTTCTGCTTTTTATTAGGCAGCCCTAAAGAGTTTAATGAATGACTTTATTAATGGTTAATAATTTTCTCATGCTTTACATGGCTTATTAGAGAGTGAGAAGCCCATGACCATTTGTTAATGGTGTACTAACATTCACAGCTGCGATATTGTTGAATATTTTCACGTTGCCGTGATGTGTGAATATTTTATATGCCTAGTTTTATTAGGATAATGATCAACATGTTTATTAGAATAATGTTTATTTAAAGATACTCTGAACCTTAAGGTGCAGCTTTCTTGCTCAGCTTCGCTGTGGCCTTCACATTTCTGTACGAAGACACAGACTTCGGACTTCACAACAACACACACACCTCACATTGTGCAAAGACACACAAACCCAGCCAGTAAAACAATGTTGCTAATTGGCTGGAGGAGAAGTTAGGGTGACAACCATGATTCAAAATTACTTCGACACCCTAACGAGAGACAATGAGGCCTTGTTGGATTCTCACATAAAGTTAATAGTAACTGGAGTCAGGCTCGCTAAGAGTAAACTAAGATTTATAAACATAGGAGGCCTGGGTAAGAAGGGCCTGATAAGTGTAGAAGACTAGATTTATAAATACAAAGGGGCCCTTGTGAGGAGGCTGCAACTCCGAAGGCTCTGAAGGTCATTATGTGTTACAGTACTACACAAACCTGTGTTATGTTGATGTTAATTCTCTTTTGTCTTACGCACATACACTTTTCACTCATGTCAAGATGATGTCTTATTTGTGATGTCACATTTCTGTGTTATTTCTCTAGAAGTGTTGAAGTGTAGAATACACTATTGTTTTAATATTGAATATGTGTGGAGGTGGAAAAGGTGGTCATTGTCATTGTGAGCATGTTAGCATGCTAACGTTAGCGGTTAAGTCAAAATATCATCGTACCTAAGTATAGTTTGACCGATCACACGATGATCGATTTATGGTTGTCAGGAATGACAGTAGCGGTGGAATAATCAAAACATAATGAATTGTATTGGTATGTAAATAAAACGTTTTTACTACAATAAACCCACGTTTAACTCTACACACTGGAGATGGGCTTGTTATTTCAAGTTTCCAACACTGTGTAGAAACGAGAAAATATAAATATGTACAATCACATTTCCTATGGGTGGCGCCAATGTTATTGTACTGAGTATACATGCTGAGCTTCATTTCACAGGTTTTCATGACTAGATTGAACATAGTGTAACTGTGTTTATCATATGCATGTGTTTATTATATGTGATAAATGGCATTTAATACAAAGCTTACAGTTTATAATGGTCACCTTATAATACCTATGGTGCTCAGTTTCTCATTTCTCAAGGAAAGCCAGTGAGATCAAATGCTTCCACTGCTTTTTTGGCTTTCCTCCTGCCTGTCCACTCTTTGTGGATTAATCCTCCTTCCTCCTCTTCATGTAAGTGTCACGGAGGTTTCTCTATCTGGGATACCTGACAACTTTATTTTGATTATCAAACTGTAGAAATTGAAACAGCTGCGGGGGAAAAAAAACTTTTAAATAAGAAAGTTTGGTGTAGATAGGCTCATAGAGATAGATGCTCTCCAATTTTTAAATTGAAGTGTGATTTATTCACACATTATTAACAGGCCTGTAGTCTAGTTATTGTGCTGTATGTCTCTCTAAGGTCAGCGGCTGGTTTCTGCACTGCAACAAGCCAATCTGTATTCCAGCGCCGGTCCTGATCCAGCTGGCCAAATTATTTATGCATAAACACTTAAGATTAGGGATGAATCTGATTTATTGCTACAGCCAGCCAGTTGTTTGGCATCTGATATCACTGAAAACTCTCTGGTTGATTGGTTTGCTCCACAAGTATGAATTATTATCATTTTGTTGCCTAAAAACCAAGAGGATTAAGTTTTGCTTACAGCTGCTATTCATGATCTTTAAAAGCACCATCATCCACAACTGTTTCACACTGAAAACTAGACACTCAAATACACAGACAGCACAAATACACAAATGTGGACATGCATGCCCACGCACACACACACACTCTTTTTTTCCCCCTGTCCATCTCACTCCATGTCTTTCACACACAGACAGACACACATCGTTGTTTCTCACAGTCTCGTCTTGCTGTTGTTTGATTTACTCAGTGGCCTCTGACCCTGGCTGGGCTGAGCTGGATGGACTCTGGATTGGCCCTGCTGCTCCTCCAACTGGCTCGTATCCAACATAACCCCGCTGGACCCGAGTGTGTGGCTGTGTGTGTGTTTGCATGTCTAGATACACATCTTCAAGTGCTATTAATTTCTGTGTCACTCTGTGGTTCAAAAAGCACAGGTATTATGGGTAATACCTTTCTGTTATTGATTTTATTTGCCTACTAAAACATGCTATTATTCTATTGTGTTTTTGTGTTTTGTATTTGTTAAAAGCTGCACTTAAATGAGTTAAACTAAATTAAAATGTCTTCATGTACTTCTACAGAAATTGAAACCTCTTGTTCGTGCTGCACCCATAATTCCAGTGTTTTACAAGCTTCTAACCGGCCGTTTGTTGTTATTCATTTCTTGATGTTGTGAAGCTTAAATCCATTAAAGTTGGCAACAGTGAAGTGACTCCATCTGACATTTGCCTGTGAAAATACCCACACACAGCCTTAGAGCATAAGAGTGAGAAAGTTAGAGTTCTATTTATTAAAACACTAGATGACTACTTCAGTAATATAAAAAAATACATTACACTGAAGGAATATTGCAAAAACTAGCTAATTAATTTGATTATTGCCATTCTATTTAAAAGACAAACTCAATAAAGCGAATACACAATAAATGACAGAGCATCCTTTGTGATCCACTCTTGCACTTTAGCCCACTTGTTTTTCGCACGACAACTCCTTCAGATCTCAGGCCTTATCTGTCTGATGTTAGATTATGGAGGCTTATCATGGTGGCCCAAATATGACTATTATTTCTTTTAGAAAATCATATCCTCTGGGAATTTTAACAGACGTTTTAATTTTACTCATCAGATCCTTCTGCACAATATGGATGTTGATCATAGCTTTTATCTATCTGCCTCACCAATCTGAATCAGTGCCTGGAAAGCTAAAACAAACCAGTGTGGTGATATAAGAAATAACTAAACCTGTAGTGAATAAATCTGTCATCTCTTCTTGGACAAGATAAATCACAAAGGAATATATTGTATTTATATTTCATTGATGGCTCTTCTTAAAGTCATGTCTGTGGTATTTCTTCAAACATACGTCTGATCTTTGAAGGCGGTCCATGTCTCTGAATTTTTAAAACAGATGTGGGCTTTCCCAATTTTCTGCCTCAGTCCCAAAACACTGAGTGAATGATGACACTCACTGTGGGTTACAACTTCTTAAAGCAATTTTTTGACATTTGGGAAATACGCTTTAGCGTTCAAGAGTTAGATGAGAAGAGACTCCCTTTTTTGTGGGGTCAATATGAAGCTAGACCCAGCAGGTTTCTAGCGTTGCTCAACATAAAAACTGGAAACAGCTAGCCTGGTTCTGCCCAGTTTCCAAACAAATCTCCAAACCAGCACCTTTAAAACTCACAAAATACTAAAGATACAGACAAACAAGATGTTACGTGTTAACTTGTGAGCTTTTGAGGTGCTGGTAGGTGGATTTTTTTACATTTGGCCAGAGTCAGGCTAACTGTTTCCCTTTGTTTCAATTTTTTGCTGAGCTACACGAACCACCTGCTGGAATGAGAGGAATGACGTTTTGTTTTTATTCCAAAAATGTTGCTGTTGTGCTTTGGACAGCAGTGCAGTTCTAGGACATTGTTTACGTTTTTCCACGGGCAGGATATTGGTTGGATGAATACTGAACCGGTTATTATTTCAAGATAAGCAAGATAAGTGTTTTAAAAGTATATTAAGAACCTAAAAAATTGCAATTCCCCCTTTTCCAAATCTTTGACCCTCTCTGTTAACTGCACAGGTCCTCAGCTCAGCCCACCTGTTAAGACGCTACATTACTTAAAAGCACCATAGTAAAACACTCCCTGAGCTGCCTGTGTATTTGGGTTACCTCTTTTGCTTGTTGTGCAACACACTAAATGCCTCAATCCCTTGTTCTCAGTTCCCTCTAAGCCCTTGATAAGGAAGTGGACTAAATTTTTTGTGTCCTTTCCAGTGAGAGTGACCTAAAAGACCACTGGAGATGATGGGGGAGGTATGTGTTACAGTACAATAGCTAATAAATCTCTCTGCAGTAACCATACCAGAGCACTGAGAACATGTTTATGGAGGGAGGCTAATCAGCTTTCTTCAGATGGGCTAATGTCCTTACAGTGGCTGAGAGGGGGGCCTATATTTAGCGTCCACTCTCTCCCTCTTAACTGGGGATAACATTGGCCGTGTTCTCTTGTCCGTAGCTCATCTCTCTGCTTAAATTCACCAAGAAGTCCAGGTAGGTAGAGATGAAAGGAAATGAGCGAGGACAAGAAAACAGAAGGAAAAGATGCATTAAGTTGTGTACTCACGGTGATAGTGAGAAAACAGACAAACAAGTTGCAATAGACATTGGACTTGCACACAGAAACTTATTAAAAACAGTGTGTCTGTCAAAGAAATAAGGTAAAGATTGAAGATAAACAAGAGAGGGGAAAAAAGACAGTATAACAAAGACACAGGCAGAAAAATATCAAAGAGATCATGAATGATAAACTAAGTCAAATATTTATGCTCAGTGTCAGCAGGGAAAGTGACATCTGGAGGCTGAGGCCTCCGGGCATTGAAGTGATGCAGACCTGCAGCCAATCTACTCAGTCAGTTACCATGTGTCACTGGAGTCCAAGGCTCTGCTGGTAGTAGGGTCTGTGCATGTACATGACATTTACCTGCTGCTGTAAATACACTCACAGCAAATGAAGTCTGGCATACCATGCGATGACGGTTGCTGACGCCCGTTGTGATGTCTCTTGGAGGGGAAATCCGTCACGTTCAGCTGTCACTTGCTGGCAGCAGCCACTGTGCCCGCTGGGATTATACGGGTACCTTGGGATGTTGACCTGATGAAGACATTTCCTCTGTCTGTCAAAGTCTGGACACTAAATCTAAATGCCAGAGAGGCTAAGCTGAGGTTCAGTAAGGTAAAACATCTAAGAAATGCCATGCAGATTGTTATTGTCACACATTACTGTGTGTAATGAGCAAGATAGCAAAAATTGAACTGAACAACTCTTGTATGATGGTCTTTTTTTGCTTTTAATTCTCAAGTTGGTCAACTTGAACACAATTAGCAGATCATTACTTTCGTGTCCAATCAGGACGGCAGTTAAAATGAAGAACAGTGAAACAAATCTCTTTAGAGCAACAGAAACCCATATGAAACAGCTCAGAGCACACACAAAGTGAACACAAGTTAAATCTGCATCCCAGCATAGCCACCATGTCGTCCACCTGCACTGCTCTTCATCAGCCAAAATAACACAGATTCACACACACCACAAAATAGACTCAGTGACACAGCTTTGACTCTGCCTGCTACATCGGTCAAACACAAACTGTACAAAAATAGAGATTGATAGAAAAATAGGAGATCTGACATCATGTTTGATAGAATATGCTGAGTCTCTTGCACTTGTAAAGCTGAACATGTACACCTGTTATTTTCATGATCACGAGCCAACTTGTCTTAGTGCCATTCAAATAGGAATGTGGTTGTCCTTATCTGTACTCTACATTTCCTCATTCTTTGGTGCTTTCTCATGCTGAGAAGAGATAAATTGTTGGCAGCTGTCATCTGCTCATGCAGCCCAAAGTTCCACACATCCCAAACGTTGACTCTTTTTATATAAAAGAGAAGATGAAATCTACATTGGCTAATATCCACTGAACTTTGGAGCTTCTCTGGCTTAATTTTTTATTTTGACATAATCTCCTCTGCAAGGTGACTCTACCAGTAGCATGCCTTTACTTCACTCCATTCTGAAGTTTCTCTGCTGCTTCGTCACTGCATTCACAACCCAAGCTCCACCCACCCCTCTGATAAACAGGTTTGTTGTATCACTGCGTGGTCTGCAGATATTTGTAGACGTCTCTTGAACGTTTTCTCTTTCTCTCTTATCCATTGAAAGAAAACACACTTTTTACATTGCATAAAGCATGGCAAAATGATATTAAACTGCTTAAAACAATGCAAAAAAAGACAATTTAATATATTTGATATCAAATTAATATATCTATATATGTCTATTAACACATATCTGATTTACTGAAACTTAAAGCTGTGGACTTTTTGACCAGTAGTAGCACTTTGGAGAAATAATTTTTCCAAGTGGGCCCCCCCGATTTGTTTGTATTATTTCGTGCATACGAGGACTCACTTGCCCAGGTGCAACCATGCAGTGGTTTATATCCCGCCATCATTCACTGCTATTCCACTGTAACACACAAGAAGCTTACTAATGCACCTTAAAATTTAGTAAAAATATGCTTGATCAAATGTTTTATGAGGACCCTCTTTATAGTATGTTATTTCTTATATCACCATTTTAACTTTCCTTAATTATCCATTTTATTTTAATGTTTACTACTTAGATCTGCTTACCTTGCTTTTCCCTTCAGTTCTCTTTCTTTTCTCCACACGTGCACGCCCACTCCTACCACACACAGGGTGTGTGCGGTAGGAGTGGGCGTGCACGGCTTGCCTCGCCCGGACCGTCTCGGTTTCTCTCTCCCTGTATCTGTCTGCTATGTTGACTTTCTTCGTCAGCAGTCGCCCAAAAAACACAATTCGTGTTTCTGTTTTCCCAGCAGCTCTTCTAATGTAATACCAGAGAAGTTTCTCTGCAGAGTAATTGTCAATAGACTGCACAGAGGGGGTAGAGCGAGGAGAGATCCTCCACCAGTTAATCAATCGCGGATTGGAATCGTTCTCTCGGACGGATAAAAAAATAAAATAAAAAACGCTAAAATGGGTTGACAGATATACTTTGGTGGCCCACCCAAGTAAAGTCTATGTGTGGATAACACTGATGGGTATCTTGGGTGAGTAACTAAGTAAATTTAAACATAACTTTTTTTTTTTTTTACAAGAAAACCCCACAAGGCACCTTTAAGGAAGCTTGAGCATGTAGCTGAAATTGATTTTGATAAAAGACTGCATGTGTTGAAATTGCATTTTAAAATGCTTTATGGACAAAACCTTTACAAATTCAAGTACTTTTCTTTATGTAGCATTTCATCTCAGATGACAGATGATTGGATTTCATTTCTGTGATTTTAACAAGCTGTTCACTGGACTACCTTATTTTGCAATCCAACAAAATTGCAGATAAGAGCTGTTATTCGCTCTCATTTGCTCTCCTGCTGCCAAAACCTTTCTTTCTCTGTACATTTATGTCAAATTTCTGATCTGTTTTACTCTCGTAAGCATTTTTGATCCAACCTCCACCACCCCTTCTCTCTACAGATAATGAGATTATGTTGTTACTTCCTCTTAGTAATCAGGATGTGCGTTCATCCAGCAGGACTGCAGATAAGAACAGAATCTTCAACTAAACAATGCCAAAAATTAGTTGGTCCAAAACCTTCCTCGGTGTAAGAGACCTCAGCATACTGTAAGTAAACTATCTGTTCCACAGGACATTCATTATCATTCACTGAAAATGTCAGACAACTCAAGAGTTCTCTACGATAAAGAATCACAAAATATCTCTTCCCTTTAGGCTTTATCTAGGCACTTAAAGAAAATTATTCCTGTACAGAAATAAAGCATGCATTGTTTCGTTGTTGTTGTTTTTCCTCAGAATTCAGATAAAGTTGAGTATCAACTATCAATTAAGTAGATCTTTGGATTTGTAAACAGTATCCAGTTCCTCATTTTGCATCGTCTGTAAAAAGGAGTCAGAAAGGTTGCCATTGTTTGACACAAATCCAGTCTTCAGCACGCTATGTGTGTCCTCTATTACTCGCTGTGGCTTTTAGCAAGTCAGTTTTGGTTTTTAATTTGAAGAGGACGAGGACATTATGCATGTTCATCATTTTAAATGTGAGTTCCTGTGAGCTGTAACTCACAGGCTGTTGGCCGAGCTGTGGTTTGGTCTACTAAAATCGTTCTCAGCGCTGATGATGGAACCTTAAAACTGATGGATCAGCCTCTCTCATTACGATCTCTCCCTGTGTGCTCCTGCTAAGAAAAGCCTTTCTCTGGCCTACTGCCTTGATCCTGGTTCCATTTCCCTCAATTTCTCATCTCAAAGAAGACAAAAAAGATCATCATTCATCCCTTTCAAGGGGATACGAGTTCCACCAGTTCCGCAAAAGTGCAAGAAGGTACACAAAGTTTAGTTACAGGGCAGCCACGTGGCGTACATGGGATGTTGCGGGGGAGAAAGGTAATGCTGAGGAGGCGAGGGAGGACAGGGGTAGACAGGCTGAACCTGCGCTACGTAATAGTTACTGAAGTTGCCATCTGAAACATAAGGAGCCGGCTGGTAGAAGCAGGTGACATTGGCAGCGTTGGGGATGGCGTTCTGCTCGGCCAGAACCCGCAGTGCCAGCGAAGAGATGAGGCTGAGCGTCTGACGCCTCTCGTGGCCCATCAGGCACACCGTGCTCTCCTGCACCACATCATACAGCGTGGCCAGATAGTCATACTTTCTGTCCTCCAGGTCTACAAAGTGGTTCTGCAGATAGGACTCCAGCTTCCTCCTCTGCTCGCTCACGTCAGAAAAGTCTATGAAAAAGCGCGAGCACATGTAGCGCTGCAGCAGTTTCATCTCACTGTCAGAAGCTGCACGGAAACCACGCACCAGCAGGTGGCAGTATTTAAGTAGACCCCCGCCTCGAATCTCCTCAGGGCTCCTCGTGCAGATGAGACGCTTGCGCAGGTGATCGAGGGCAGTGGGGAAATCGCCATAGACGCTCTCCCCAAGAATTGTGGGGTGGAAAGTGGCAGCCATGGGGTGCTCTGAGCATTCGTAAAAGAGGAGAAGCGAGTCCAGGCGGATCTGGAAGGAGTCCACACTGAACTCAAACTGCCGCCGAAGAGAGTCCACAAACTTCAGCTCCACGTTCTTGCCACGGTTGTTGGAGAGGGAGATTAGACTCCAGCGGTCTGAGTCATTGCACACCTTCACCATCTTCTGCACATAGGCCTCCTAAAAAGACACAAGTGAAGCATTAGGTGTGAAGAATGATCCTAGTGATATTGATCTAATGCAGTGAGTCTAATGTATCTCAGTCAATGACTGAAAACTGAAATCAAGAAATGCAAGACATAGTTGGATACACAAACATATATATACACCTTTAACCATCTCTTAAGTTCTGTGTGTATAGCATGAAGGGACTACAAACTACATCATAAAAACATTTGATCCAACATACAGTAGGCCTACTTACATGTTTTCTATATTGAACTTATAGAGGTTACTGCAACATAATCAGAGCAAATAAAACAGGAATTACTTTTTTGAGTTACATTTTGGCAAAGAATATGTGTCAGATTTCCACACAGAGTCCTACTGCCTTCTGTGCATCTGTTAAATAATTCCTCTCTGTTCCTTCTGCCACACCACATTAATGTGGTGTTAGTTCTTGCACCAGTGCATCATACCTTTTCTTCTTACACTTCTGAAACTCCCATTACAGCATGTTATCAGACCCATGTTTAAGAGTGATTGGGTCTTACACGGAGATCTTCTACAAAATGTTAAAAACCATTCTTAGTTTGATTAATGCTATTAGCAGATAAAAACCTCGATTTGGTCTGTTAGTAATGATGTTTTTCTGATCACATCTGTTGGTGGGCCATTAGTAGCCTGGGTAGTCGTCGGTATCCAGGTAACTGACGGCCGATTTATTAATGTGGCCCCAATTGGATTAGACCGAATCGTCTTTGAAATAGAAACCAACCTTTTGACTATTTGAAGGCTTATATCTCTGTGCAGGTTGGATGTATATAGGGCAGCCTTGTTTTTGTTTACATGTAGGCCTAATTTAAGTGGATTTGCAAACACAAAATAAAAATAAATTCAGCCACGTGCGATGCGTAATTAAGCGAGAAATGAAATAAAATGAAGAGGATAAATAAGATTCTACAGCATGTTCACGGTCTTTATTTTAAACTTTGAAAAGTTGGAGTCAAAATGTGCTTTGCAAACCTTATTATCTATATACTATATATGAGCCATATGGCTATAACGCCATGTAGTACAAGCCTACCTTTAGGGTCACTGGAGTGATCTTTTCTTTATTTACTCCCTCGGGCAAGAAGTCTAGAAGAGAGTCCAGAACTATATCTTTCACTATTTTAAACTCCATCTCTCCTTTCAGATCAGCGCAGAATATTAAGTCCAGATCCTTCCATCCCAGACCGCTGTCCTCGTGCAGGACGTAGCTGGCCGCAGAGCCGTTCAGTCGCACCTCCCGGACTTGTATCCGCTTTTCCTCCATGCGGCTCCGGACCACCTTCACGATATCCCGCGGCTTCACCTCCAGAGTGGGAAAGCTCCACCGTCCGTGGATGGGAATGGAGCCGGTTAGGATGGTGTCCAGCCGCTGAACTTGCTCCCAGTTGAGCACGCTGAGGTTGATGCTCTCCCCGTCCGAGCAGCTGTCCGCCGCAGCAGACTCAACACTCTCGTCCATGTTGAGAAGAGGTAGACAGAAGGATGTAAACGACAAAACTTTCCACTGACTCCTGCTGGAGTTGTGGCATCAGCTAGCTGCAACTTTCTGTAGAATTTAACGTTCAAAGCTGATGTCTGTCATAACGTCAAGATGCTGGGCAACGCGTCTCTACGCATGACGGAAAGAGCTAGCTGGGCGGTGTTATGCTTGTCCTACTTCTTACATAAAGTCTGCAGTCCAGACAAATTCAAATCATGAGTTCTCCAGACGGCTTAGTAACTGTCCAGCATTACTCCGCTGCGCGCTCCGCTCCGGCGCTGTCGCCAAACCCTGGAAAGCGAATATCAACTGTAAAGCTCGAAATGATTGTTCCTTACAGTGTCAGCTTTTCTTTACGTCCCAAAGGCTCATCGCATCCGAGAAAACATTTCACCCACCGCAGAAGGTTCACTTCTGTCCTCGTTGGCTCACTTTTACGCATAGAATATGGCGCGTCCCTGCTGCGTAACAACAACTTTACGCATTGTTTTGAGATCTGCTACACTTTTCCACTGCACACCATCAGAAAGTGGTGTATGGCTGCTTTCCCCTCACATTTTGGCCGACTCCTGCTCGCTGATACTGCGTGATACCACATAGGTCCCACTTCACAGCTGCTGGAGAAGTTGTGAACAGTGTGCTTCCCGTTTGAGAAGCGTTGAGGGCGGGTCGGATTGATTGACAACCACCACCTACTAATAGCTGCCGCCGCCTCCCGTAGTTACTTTGAGTGGCTGCAAGCCCGGAGACGGAGGCGTATCTGGAGAATAGGCGTTACGAGAGAAGAGAAGAGAGACGCTGACCCTTAACCAAAACCCTATCTCGCTTTGAGTCGATTTCTCGGCACTCCTTTCACATTGCAGGATAAAATCACTCAGACATCCCGTACATGTCCACTAATTAATGAAGTGAGAGACTGATGAGCATTTACCTGGAGAGACAATCACATCATCATTTGGCTACTGCATAATGACAGTCTTCCTATGATTTTATAGTGTTGTGTATGAATGTTGAGTTAGTCTATTATAATTCACTCTGGATAACAGCATCACAAATGTTACGACTGTAAATCATTTCATTCTTATATTACAGTTACTCAGGAGTCTGATCATTCACAGGTGACGCTGGGAATGCACATCAAACCAACGCCCACTAGGGGTGTTTTTTCACCCATCATCATTTGGCCCTGCAGGCGTTTTGTTTTGCAGCACCTCTTCAGTCTTTGGTTACTTTACAAACTTGGAAGCAAAATTGCAGAAATCTTGTGCAAATGCAATCTTGTATCTAATGCTATATATATTTAATAACAATCAAAACAAATCTGTGTTTGGTGCATGGTTGTGACGACCATTTATGATATGTAAGATGTAAGATGTCAGTGTGTAGTGTATAGGCCATATAGTCTCCGCAGGTTAGTTGTCATGGAGAATCTATCAGTGCAGAGCTTGGCACGTATATCTGCGTCACTGCAGACGAGCCCATAAACCAGCTTACTGCAGATTACCCTGTATCTGCAGTGACACATACTTTCACACAGACACACAAAAGCCCTGTCAAAAAAAAAACTGTCAAACAGAGCATTTATAATAAATATTTGAGTACTTTGATGGGATAACTGAGCTGCACAATAACTAAACTTCTTCCACATTTTCACATACAATGGTTTGAAAACCTTTGACATCTGTATATTTGGCTGAATACATTCAGTATCTGATAAGAGCTTATCTGTTAAGAGCCATATAGGCAAAGATATCACATACATTCCTGTGCATGTACCGCATAATTTCACAGGATGTCATGAGGCACAGAGGTCAAGTAATTAGTTACACTTATTTAAGTGTCAGGTGCATTTTTCATTCAGAGAAGTGTGTTGGAGCTGTTTTTACTTCTTGGTATTGTTTTGGTAAACAATGACCCCGTGGGCAGCTGCTAACAACTGTAAGTGTGTGATAAACAATGGTCACATTAAGAACAAATTAACAAATTAACATAAGAACAAATTAAAATGACAATATATTTCAGTGCAATGCAAAACCTGAAACTTCATTCAAGCCGAGTTACAGACAATCAGCTTTGTTGGTTGAGAGTCAAGACAGCAGGTCAGTCACACTCCCCACTTTCCCCATTCACCAACAGGCTCTATGTCAGGCTTAATGCTGTGGATGCTTACCATGAAGCAGCTACTTACCTGACCTCTGACTTGTCAAGTGGATGACACTGGCTTGGTTTGCAGTGTCTGACGGCATCAGAGGATTGACGAGGGGATTTCAGACAGACCCCTTGTCAGGCTGCCAAACCGATTGCCACATATAGAAACAAATTGTGTGTGTGTGTGTGTGTGTGTGCGTCTTCACATGCGTGTATTGTGTCATAAGTGAGTGCCAATGTGTATACTATAAAGCTAATGTTGGTGTGATTATGTCCCAGTTTCTTCTTTGTGCAACTATTATTGTCCAATTTCTTTGTGAATGCTGCTCTGTGTGTGTGTTAGTATGAACTATGTGAGCTGAATGTCTGTCCCCAACTTCAACCTGTGCACCCGTCTTTTGCTCTCCCTTCACTGCAAAAACTGAGCTCTCAAAAAAGCATTAAAATGGGGGAAATATTACTTAAAATAAGTTAAATTATCTGCCAACAGAACAAGAATATTTCACTTGCTATTCAAGGACAAAAAAACTCAAAACAGGTGAAATTCTCTAACATAAAAGCCGCCTGTATATATGTATAATATCTTGTTGGACAAAAAACAAGTATATTTTGCTTTCAATTAAGATAATTAATCTTACCAAGATTTTAGTTTTTGCAGTGTTCATCCTATGCCTCTCTTCCTCTTTTTTTTGCTCATCCTCTTTTCCATCCCGTTTTTCACCATTCCTACAGGTGGAAGTTCATTAAGAGATTACAGTGAGCCCGTTAGCCAAATGTGCCTCCACTGCCTTCCCACCTCACTCATTTAACACCTATTTTGGATTTCCATTTGTAGGGACACGTCAACTCATGCTGGCCTGACATGGACTCACATGTCATTTAACAAGTACTTCGATCTACTTTTTCTACTGTTGTAGACTGCGGAGTAATTTTGCAATTGATAAAAGGGAATAAAATCAGTTTTTTTCACATTGGTTGAGGCCAACACATTTGTTTGAGGATCAAATATTAAACATCTAATGTTAAACAAGGCTGTTAACAGGGAGGTGATCCAATGTAAATTTTAGTAGTATTTATATATGGTCAGTTAGGCGTACCCTGCAACATCATGTCAACAATTAAATCTTTAACCTAGCTAACCAAGGCTGATTCAGGCTAACATTACCGTGAGATTAGCTAGTTAACCGTAAAGACAAGCTGGTGGTGAGCTAATTTGTGACATCAGAGGGTGTAGTGAAGATGTTAACGTTAGCTGGTTGAAATATAGCTACCTATTTAAGTCAATATTGGCTATTCAGGGCATTGTTGCACATCAGCGTTTGGCATTAACGTTGAGCTAGATTGTATGAACAGTGAGATTTTATTTTAAAAGAAGATGATAGCAGCTGTATGGAGAAAAAAGTTTGCTATTGTCTTGTAAACGACGTTGCTAGCTAGCAACAATAGCATCAACTTTTGGTCAGCTAGAAGGCTGGACCTTGTTCACTGTGTTTGCTTCAATGTAGTGGTAGTACAGACACTAGCGTTAGTAGAACTAGATATCTGTCTTTTCTGCTGCACTTTAAGAAATGGCTGAAAGCTGTGGTTCATGGGGGGTACGAATATTTCCTTTCTGTGAGTTTATCATACTAAAAAAGCTAAGACAGGTTTTGTAACATACTGCGAATTTGCCGCTCAGCAGGGAGGAGCTAAACTATCGGACTATTTCCTCTTGAGGTACAAAGTAGTATTACAAGACATACTTCACTAGACATCTATGCAACCCAATACATACATATCTTGACCTTAGAACTGTTACTTTTTCACATTCTGTTAATAATGTTAGTTTATTTTTTAAGGTTTTAAACTAAAATTCCGGCCATCTTACACATTGCACCTTTAAGAAACTGATATCCTTGAACCAATTGTTTTTGGTTGTATTTTAAGTTGGGAACCTACAATAATTATCTACTGTGTATAATCCAGTTTCAATATCAGAATCAGCAGAAATAGTCTATAAGGGCTGCACAAATATTTGTACTCATGGTTCAGGCTGATTGTCCCACAATAACTGCTTAGGTTGTTAACTTACACGTCAAATAATTACTCGAGGCAAAGATGGACCTCAAAAGTATTTCCAATCAGTTTTAACCCTGACGTGAGCAAGAGACCTTTGTCTACCCAGCCAACTATGAAGAACGCGCTCAGTATCACATTACACATTTTTGAAACATTTTTCGTCTTAAACTTGCGCAAGATCTTGTGTCCAAATATACCACTAATTACCACATAAGATCACAGAAGAACTGTCTGACAACACTTGACCATGCACACAAGTTCTTAGATAGGTAGCTATTGATCAAGCAAAACACTTCTATTCTATAAAACTTATTACAAAGATATATATTATTTGTACAAACACACTGAACTGAACTCAGTATTTTAATGCAGCCCCAGAGATTCATGCAATCCCCCCACTGTAATATTTCAGCCCATTTTTTTTATAAACAACACTGTATAGCTTTCTTGACCTGTCATGACTGAGGGCAGCAAGCTGTTGAAACAAAATAAACAGGAAGTGAATTTCTATATCTGTGACTCAGCTTCCTGTGTGCTACTGTGGTTGGATATGACCAGCCCACATTGATATTGTGTGATGATCTCTGTTCCATGTAAACAGACACATGCAGAGACACACATGCACACGCATCATGAATATAACCAGAGACCACAGAAACTGAAGTAGCGGTAATGACAACAATGAGAACTGGCTCCTGGCCCTCAGCTGGAAGCAGTTTACAAAAAAATTTGGCTGAAGAGTTCATTATTATATTATTGATCAGTTTATCAATAGTCAGAGAACCTAATTAACCAGTGGTTCCCAACCTTGTGATTGCGCCCCCATCAAGTGGTCGCAAGTTAAATCTGAGGGTTCCCAATATTTTTATTTTCATAAAAAAGTAATTGGAATTGTGTGCCTCTTAAGCACAAGGTCCTGCTTTATTACTCATCTAGTTTAAGGGCCCCTCTGTTATAATGTAGTTTCAATATACCAGTATTCATTACTTCAATCAAATTTACCACACAGAAAATATGGTGACAGCTATATATAAAATTACATGTGAAAATCCAGTTATTTGTAGATAGATTTTACTAAGCCTATATCTAAAATACCAAAAGATTAGTGACTTATTTTTGGTAGATTTACTCTCACCTCCCTTTTCATACACCCTTCTTCCAGTTTCATGGAGAAACTGGAAAACCCCTGAATCCTTTCAACAAAGGTCACACTGACACACTCATGAAAGTACTACAGTGCCATCTACTGGATTTCAGCAAACATCCCAAGTTGCGCTGAATTGACTGGAGACACACTGACTCTGTTAAAACTTCCTCTGACTTCTCACTAGGTGGCAGTCTTTCCATACTGCTTGTACAGTAGTTCATGATACACACTTTCTATCTGTCCTCTCTCTTAGTCTCTTAGTTTCCCACACAATAGACTGCACTGAAATGTAAGCACATGCATT